ATGATGAGAATTTCTGACATGGCATTCTTAGACAATGAATGTTTACTGTTGAATATTTTGTCATCCAGGAAGACATCCTTACCTAGCTTTGTTATTGTCATGTGCATGGGAGTTGTTAGGCTCTAGGATATACGTTTAACATTTCATAATGTTTCTCAAAAGATTTGTCATAACTTATAAGATCTCTTCTATATATAGGCTTCATATGTCCTATGATGGATTAAACTGCAAGTAAACTGAAAGATGTATATAAGTGAGATTTTGTTGCATATTGATAATTTTTCTAGATAGATCTACATATAGTCAATTTTTTATGGAGAAAAAATTCAAAATATTTGTACAAAATATTTAAATGTCCCAGTGAAAGTGCTGAAATCGAATTTTATGTAATGGCTTTCTAAACAAACTAATTTGGGGTGAGCGCTGAGTGACAGAATATTTTCATTGGCTGATAATGTGTGGTATGTAGAATTTTTTGCCATGTTTATATATCTTGAGATTCTTAGCCATTATATATACGCATCCATATGCATGTTTCTGCTATTTCTGTTAATCCTACAAAAATAACATTGAATACATTGTTGAATTTTGTGAAAGGACCTTTGATTTTGACATTGTGAATACTTATAATAACAACTAAAAATCTGTAACTAGCTTTTTATGATTAACGTCCTGCGTGACTCTCCACAAATGACCTTAGCACTACCAGCCTAAGTTACACTATCAAAATTAAGGTCATCATAGTGCTAAGATTGTTTGTGGAATGGGGCCCTGCTTGGGTACTCTAAACCACCTGCTGCCCACAATCCTGTTCCACGCAATGAAAGCCTGTCAGAGATTAATGAAATTGTGCAGGGCATCAAACACAGGGAATCTGTTTTAACTCCAGCAAGAGGAGTTCCCCCAGTGGTTGATTTTTCCATTTCAAAATATGTCACAGCAAGTTACAAATCTACTACATAATTATACCTAGAGCTGCTCACCATAGCTAACCTCTACCTGCAGTGCCGTAGCCAGCCACCCCCCTAGATTTTTTTTTATAGAAAACAGTTTTATTTGAATCAAGTTGGGGACAAGTGATACTTGTACAAATATTTGTCCCCCCTGTCAAAAAAAGTTAACTACGGCCTTGATCTGGTAGTAGATAGAGCATCTGTCCATCCGAAGACAAGCGTTGATTAAAACACTGTTTCGCTGAAATGCAGAATTTAACGGACCAAATATGTTCTGTTGCAGATGCTTTCAGTTCCAACTTCCAGTAGCTGTTGTGCCCTGATTTCAGTGCGAACCACTGTTAGGCCATTAGTTGCTGCATTCATATCGCACTTAAAACTATTCTTTCACACTTGGTAGCTATACACACGATACAGCTTATTAATTTAGAAAATGCTTGTTATTATTCAAATAGATAGGAGGCGTGTTATAGAAACCAAATTGTGTTGGATCCATCGCAGGTGGGACTGGCTGTAAAGCAGTCTTCCAAATATTGGTTTGGAGATGTGCCCACTTCACATTTTCCAAAAAGGTTTTACATTTGTTAGTAGTTAAGCTGAGAGCTTGTTTGGAATTTGAGCAGAGCCTGTTCGAGTTTTGGTTACCCAGACTTGTGAAGTGATAGCTGGTGAATCTGTCGACAGAGCTCCAGATAACTTTTGTAGCACTTGAGTTTTTACTTGAGGGTTTCTATTTTAATTGGGTTATTACATTTTTCATTGGGTAACGAATATTTTTTCACTCATCTGTTCATCACTCTATTGTTTTTTTTCCCAAAATGAGTAAGCAATATGTGTATGTATAATGGTTCTAAATATAGGCTTGACTTAAAAGTAAATTAGCTCGTAATTGTGTTTCGGAAATTAGCTTGATTGGGTATTGGGTATTTATGCGTGCTGTAATTGAGTTTTCCATTTAATGCATGCGTTTCTATACGCAAGTTAATTGGAAGTAATTGAGTTTTGAATAGTTTTTTTGGGTATTTTATGCAAATACGCAGCTTATCTGTAGCTCTGGCTGTTTGATATCTAAGCAGTGAAAGTGACCATCTTTTAATGCCTTTAGTGCCACTTTTCCTTTACCAATCCCAAAATATGATACTGTTGTATCACTACCACTCAATCCATTATTCTCTCATGTAAGTTTGTGTTCTTTAGTATGAACATGAAGCAGATCTTTGTAATTGAAGAGAAATGGAAATAATGTTTGTCAACTCCTGTTAGTTTTCTTTGATATTGGTGGGAATAACCTTCTGGGGAGGTAAGACTGTTGATACCTTCATGTGATGAACTCTACTGCTGGCATTTGTTGTTCTTCTTTGCCTTGTGACATTCTTTGTGCCGTACATTTCTTTGAGGTAAAATACCAAGTACCCATCCTTGTTGTATCAGTCATATGACAAGTCTTGAGCAGGTTCATATGTTTCTTAAGGAATGTTACAGTCATGCATAGCATATAAGATGGCTGACCTCGGCTAGCACATGTGTTATGTTGTACGTGAAGTTCCAAACATGTGGCGCACCTCGCGCGTGAAGTGTTACCCAACAGAGTTACCTCCCCTACACCACTACATGTCTGCATAGCAAATACCACAATCTCTAACTTGCAATTTTGAAATAATGTTAGTTTTGAAACCTGGCATGAAGCTATACTGTTCCTCGATCTGGCCAGGGAATGACATACAGCAATGCTGATCCATCAATAATTAAGGCTGTTGTTTGACTTGTGTGTTTGATGATCTTTATGATGAGAAGCTACTGGTTCAAGTAAAATTAGTTTCATGACAGCATTTCCTTGCATATTCTCATTTCTCAGGCGTTGCTAAACATGGAATGAGAACTGGTGCCAATTCATAAGAAGAAACATGACGTCACAAGAGCTGGTCTGCAGACCAGTAACACGAGAATAGATCAAGCTGGTGTGGAAAACTCTCATTGTTCCAATATTGCTATGCTTCTTTGCTGTTTACAACCATTGTAACAATCTTTTTGGAAAAGTTTCATGAAAGCTGTCTAGCCATCCTTTCTCAAGGCTTTCCATGTGGTTTGTTTCAATAGATTCTGCATCGTGAATGTTAACTGCAGAAGGAGACAGCCTACTGGAAACAATGTTCACAAGATCTTCCTCATACATTTCTAGCTTCATCGTATCAATGAACAGTTGCAGCTGCTGACGAACGTTCCCACTGTCCTTGGCATCTGATTCCATTCTTGGTTTGTTTTCTTTTTTGGGTTTTCCTGTCATGCTTTCACATTACATTGACAGATGTTTAACACATCTTCCTCTCCTTGTGTGCATATGCTGAGAGTGAATGCCCATGTCTAAGAGACTTTCCGGTTTCAGGCCTCTTAACTCCAGCTATTCCCTCATGTCCATGACCATATCTCATGAATGTTGTTTCGATCCACATGTCGCTCCAGATATCATTCTAGTTGCCAGATATGTCTCATGACATGATCACCTGAAGAAAGTGTTCATGCATTTTGATGGTCATAACTTCAGTGGACCTAGGCTAGAACAGATCCTTTCTCATGTTTCTGGCATAATGTTTGTTCAGCAGCAAAGAAGTACAGCATATTCGTTTTACTGCTTCAAGGTGCAGAGACAAGCCACTGCTCTCACTCTCATCATCATAATGAAAACATGCTTGATGAGAACACCTGCCCACAGCTTTGTGATCTTGCTTCATGAAGAGAGTTTGGAGTTCAAGCTGAATTACATTGCTATTGCTATTACCAGATCCAAGCACACTTTTCAAAATCTCTTCTTCCACAGGAAGAGGTCAGACAGGTTTCACCTTGGTTATAGAATCTTGAAGTTTATTATCTTCTCCCGGTGCCATCCATACAAAAGAGGAAGCTGAGTTTTGAAATGCAAAGTTTACATTGGCATATACAGGAGATAACAACACTAGGAGTTTAATTGAATTGCTAGGCTAGTTTGTGAATCAAAGTAACTCTCTTCAAATGGATTGGTTATGTATAATATGTTGACACATAACCTGTATGACACTGGATTTTAATGTCATTGTATTCCAATTGCGTAGATCGATGCTCAAGTCAATCACTGGATTGTCTGGCCCAGACTTAATTATTTACAGACCGCCGTCATATACATGATATAGCTGAGTGTGGCGTTAAGCAACAAACAACAACATTTTAAAATGGTCAACATGGTCAAAGAAGACAGAGTGTCATTAGTCAGTTTCATAATCTAGTTTATGTACTTAAACAAAACCAGCAATAAAAAAACACTGTATCCCCAAAGTCTGTGTTTTTGTCCTCTCTGTCGGACTATATAAACTTGTAATTTTTTATGTGGGTGAAGCTGTTCACTTTTCTGAGGACTTTCAAATGGGTAACTATATTGCAGGGATTAACCTCGTGAGAATCTTTAATTGTAGGAGTCCTGGTTAAAAAATGGTGGTTCCAGAGAAACGTCAGAAACTGAATATGACAATTCAAATAAAATAGCTTTATTCGTTGCTTTAATTTATATTTATTTGATTTTAAATTTAATATCATACATAAATTTTACAAAATCATGTTTGTTTTCAGAACCTTTCACCTATCTTGTCTGTTTTGTCATGCTATGTTGCATAAACTTGATCGTAATCAATATTATAAGAAGACCGTAATCTAACACAAGTGACCTCAAATTCACCGTTTGCTGCCATTAGTTAAGATTAGAAATGGAATTCCCAAACTGAAGCTGCAAGTGCTAGCACTAGAAGATCAAGAAGCATGGAACATTGAATTTCTTATAAGTGATAACTTATGTCAATTAATTTTTTAAGTGGTATAAAATTATGAAATAATAATCATTCCTAAACATGCAAACAAAGTTTTTATGTTCCAGTGCTTGCACTTTAAACTTTTTATGTTGAGGATGAAAAATTTCGCTTCTGGTAAAAAAAACCTGTATGTCTTAACGTAACAAACAGCTGATATTTCTAAGACATGTTTCTACATTGTAAGAATGTAAGATTTCAGATTTTTCTGTTCCAGATTCGGCACTCCCTGCTGTAAGTACACAGGATTTTTTGAGGTGTTTATGTGAGAAGATATATTTCGTACTTCTGGAAGTGACAATGTGTAGAATGAAGTGAAGGAACATGAAATCCAACAACAATTTCCGCGAGCAGGTGACCTTAGTGACTGGTTGGTTCAAAACTTGGAGTGAGTGTGAGCAAACGGTGGCCCTGTACTCTTTGTTGAAGAAGCTGACACCATCACAAGCCAAGTTCCTGGTGCAGGTGCTTCAGCAGTCTCTTGCAGAGTGTACAGAGGCAAAGCTGTTGCAGGAGAAGGCCAATGATCCAGGTACTTAGCATGTTTGTACTTTCCTCTCATAGCTGTGGTTCCTAAATGTCTTTTTCTGCAGTCTTTAGCATGTAGTTGTTATATTTTTTGAATGCTATATAACAAGTCATGACACGTCAATAAACCATATTTTCTATGTTACATTGAGTTACATCTTGGGACATCATATTTGATCGCTATTGGTTTATGTACGGGATAGCCCTTTTGAATGTTCTTGAAATACTATCAAGTGATAATGAAAGTCAATTCACTCTCAGGCCATACACTAAAAAAAATGTTTTATGACCATGATAACTCAAGAAGGGCAAGTGTGATGAAATTTGTACTGAATAATACTGATCCTTTGGGTGGTGTGTTTAAAGTGGTAACTTTTGAGCAACCTTCATTGATGGTCAAGGTCACTGGAATGGTCATTCGTAAGTAGTTCAGGATTCTTTGTGCACTGAACCTAACCCTTGCGTAGGTATATCATGTTCGTAGGTGATAGCACCCTTGTTTAAAAATAAGTTTTAAACTCAAAGCAGTGTCTGCTCTAGCTTAAATTTTCTTGGAGTCACTTGGACCCCTTCATTTTAAAACTAGGGGTCCCTAACAAAAATGGAGGGGTCCAATTTGTAGCATTATAATATGACATAAACAACAGAACTCAGAGGCTGTGAAAAATCAGAAACCTTTTCGCAACTGCAAAATATCAACAAACAGGCAAAGAAAGAGAAAGGTTCACATCAGGGCACATCCTGCTCTCATGACCAAGAGCATTAAGGGACAAACAATTTCTTGAAATGGAAATTTGATATTAAGGAATATTAGAATTAATTGATACAAAATTATCCGTGTTGACATCTAACTTAGTAAATGAAAAGGCAGTACACGGGTTATCAGCCTTTGGTAAGGGGTCATTGGGACAGACATTTGTGAATGTTTTTCTCTAGATCTACCAATGATTTGAAGTTTATGGATTCAGTCAAGTTCAATGGCTGTTCTGATGCTACTGTACTGAGTAGTGAGTTCATGTCCTAACTGTGACAATTACATCAATGAGTCATGACATAATTGGCATATCAAACGTTTTTTTTGAAAGAGTGTGTTCAGGATCCAGCTTTTCCTTGATAAATCTAGTCAACATACTTCGGGGGCTTTAATTAAATGTTTAAACATGTCAGTTACACTGATAACTGTTCTGGCAAAATGTGTTTTTCATTTCTTAATATAACTCACCAAAGAATGAGTTATAAACAGCTGGATAAGTCTGTTGTAGAATAACTAAATATTCATAGATAAATGTTAACAACGCTAACATTCAAGTGTTCACATTTATTCTTTATCATATACAGTATCGCAGTATTGGTAAATCTTGTGAACCACACACCCTATCGACTGTTTACTTATGCAAATCTAAGCACGATAGATTTCATCGCATGATCGAATATAGGACTTGTTGCGCTATGTCATTGTTACTTGCAAGTACACACACGTTAACGTTTTTATGATAGTTTCTGGGATGTTTTTGAAGTGGAATTATCCCCGCCTCCATTCGAAATTGATTAGAAAAGAACCCATTTGTTCAGACGAAGTCCCTTGACCCAACCTCGGTCAGATGCATTCTGATTATGCAAAATACAAAACAGGAAGTGATGTAAACCATATAATCCACACAGCCTTACTGCGGTAAGAATCGCTCATGACAGGTACTTTGTTTACCAATCTCAGCAAAGAAAATGAGCTTCGGTCAATCCTAATTTATGAGTCATAAAAGTTGAACAAAGAACAAAAACATTTTGCATATGACATATTTAATAAGTTTGTAAGTGTGCGCCATAACGATCCGTTATAAATTAACTACCACGATAATATAGCGTACCACCACCCAACACGGTCCCTTGATCCCTTGATATGCTTGGCTTTTTTTAGTTTGACACAAGGTCGTGATGTTTTCGACCAATCAACAAGCTAATAGAATTACGAATGTATCCGAGCGGCTTAATATGCTGCACCTGACTGGCTAAAGCAAACCTAAGGACCTTAGCAAACATTAAAAAATGCAAAACCGAAAAAGATATAGGTCAAGAAACCGGTTTGGGCATTTGTAGTAAGAAGGGAGAGGATAATGAAACTGGTTTGATCTAGCAAACGGATGTGTTAATCAACATGCTTCGCTGTCTTGTTTGGCAATAAATACCTTTACGCAAAGGCGTACAGCTTTGATTTACAATAACAGAGGCCATTTGATATGAAATTCCGAAATTAATAATGGTCCAGTCACTGCGCCACGAGACCCACACATGTCATGTTGGTGCGTTCGAACTCATATTTATGCGTCCAAGACGCAAGACGCGCTCTTCAGCCAACACTGCTCAAAGCGCCTTTAAAATTCAGCATCACAACTTCTCATGAAGATATTCTTTGCCTCAGGTCACATGGCAGTGACACAGGTACCTAGTTTTTATGAGAATCTGTTGGACTGGTACTTGTCACCTTTGGGTTGTTAGTTAAACCAACAAGCTAACTGACTGAGCTAAATGGAAACTAAGTCATGCCTAGTTAGCTTAAAAGTTTCCGATCATGAAAGGAAAGAGACAGACACTTACCAATTTCATCATGTTCATGAGTTTCGTGTGACTTCCGTCTTTGTACACTTGCATGTCGTCACGATGACATTTCGCACACTCGTCCTGTTCTGTAATAGAAAAAATCTTGGACACTGTAAGAGCAAAATGTAATGTGGATCATAGTAAGGAATGATGGAGGCTTAGGCTTCTTAAGCCACAAGAGTGAATCTGAGCAAATATAGCGAGTGAAAGTGGCTTTGTGGACCTTCCAAGACATTTCCTTCTAAGCAATATATATAGCCACTTCATCTGCTCTTACCAAAGTGGTAAATGCCTAAGACTTGCATCGCTTCACGCTTTCCTCCCACATCAAGCTGACACGGTGTGATATAACTGGAATACTGTTCAAAGCAGCATTAAACCCAACTTACTCTCTAACTCACTCACTGTGTAAGATGTGGGACCCCATGGTAGATTGATAAGGTTTGGATTGGCGAAGTTAAGATGTGTGCAGCAGCAATAAAAAGTTCTTGATAAATCATGACTGCTTTCATAAACCAGCACTTCACAATTGGAGGCGGTATTTAGTAAATGTATGCTGATTCAGTGTTATTGTGTGTAGAGATGATAGATCACTGAGAGCGGCACCTGTTGCTAGGGTGTCACAGGGCATTGTTTCATCATTGTAGCTTACAACATAATTTCACAAATTACTTCATTGGGTATTGTAATGCTTGTGGTACTGAATTCTGAAGGTATGCGAGTGATTGACTGAAGTTGATGGTCATGGTCATTAAACAAGAAGTGCACATGTATACCTTTCTTCTTATGCTGGACAAGCTTGAGGTTTGGGACTTTCTGGTTTAAATCATGTTGCATCAGGCATGTGATTCCCAAACCAGATTGATGTCATTGACTGGAAGTCATGTCTTTAGAGCAGAAATATGTTTTGGTTCATTGTTAACCGGAGGCAAGACATTTTAGTTTAGTCTTGTGTGAAGTAGTAGTAGGCTATATTTTCCTGAATAAGTGCTAGAATAATGAATGGAATTGTCATGTGACACATGTCAAACACACATCAGTGACACAATACTTGGGACTTGATAACATTTACTAATACATGATCATGATTAAAAACAGGACTGGCACCATCTAACTTCCAACACAACTAAATGGAGTTAAATTATTGCCTAAGTTAGAAGTAAAATGGGTTGCAGTATTGATTCTGTTGATGACTTGTCACTGGATGAAGTTAGTTTTTATCTTTTTAATTTTTTTTTCAGCTTTCATCAGCAAAGTGTGTTCTGAATCCAAGGAGAAAGCTATCGGCCACTTGCTCAAATATCTGCCTCTCTTACAGTCAGGCAATGCTTCTGCAAAGAAGGAATACTTACGCATCATTCCCGAGGTGCTCTCTCATGCCATTGAAAATGGAGTGAACATTGAGGAAAGTAGACAGCTCCTCTCCTACTCCCTCATCCACCCTGCCATCAGTGGGGAGGAACGCTTACAGTTCCGAATGTGGCTGGGATATCTGGAGGAGAGGTTTACATACAGCATCAGTCCAGCAAGGGGGCCAAGTCAGTCCCCACCCTTGGCTGTCACAGACCAGACAGTTACACTGTCCAATGGACCTAACAGTGGTCAATGGACCACCTCAACCAATCAAGACATTACAAGCATTGTGAATGGTTCAGATAATGGGGATAATGCTAGTAACAATGGGTATATTGGGAACAGTTTGGGCAGTCATCAGTCATTACGAATCAGCAACAGCCATGTAGGAGTAGTATCATCACCAAACAATGGTCATACAGCTCTCCATGCCACTTCCTCTGCACCACCTAACTTCAGCACACCACCAGTTAGTAACCAGGGTGAGTAGAACAAGTGTTTCCCAGTGTTACCATTAACTTTAGAAACTTAAAAATACCGTTCCTGTTTTTTTTTGACTGGTCACATAATAGATATATGATAAACATGATAAACCCTAACAGTAAGCACCTTCGAACGTTCATAACATTACAGCTTTCACTTTTTATTTCTGAACAAAGTTTCTGCTCTGTTCAAATTGTAGTATTTATATTCCAAACATCGCTGACATAAACTTTTTCTGCATCCTGTGTGCATGTACGTTCAGCTGGTATGCTACTGACTGGAATGGCCAAAGCAATCTGTGACAAGGTTGCAAAGTCAGGAAATACATCTGAATCATTATTGGAACAGAGTTTGTCCATCTGTCCTTCGAAAATTGGTGTCGCACATTCATATTTTACAGAGTTATGGCCCTTACTCCATGCTTTTCAACTTTTGTGCATACTGAGTGAATGGGGACAAGTTTTCTCAGCAACTGCTGAAATTACATGAATGAAAGTTTGCATGCTTATATAAGACATAGATGTCGAGACCAAGTTCGAAAATTGGCCGCGTCAATTAATTTTTTAAAGAGTTATGGCCCTTGCTCCATGATTTTCAACTTTGTGCATACTACATGTTCTATGTGAAATGGGGACAATTTTCTCAGAAACTACTGAAGTTACATGAATGCAAGTTTGCATGGTAACTAAGAAAAACTTGTCAAGACTGAGTTCCGAAATTGGTCCTGTAAAACATTTTTTTACCCTTGTCCCGTGTTTTTCAACTTAGTGCATGGTGTTTGCAGTGGGGACAAGTTTTCTAAGAAACTACTAAAGTTTTCAAGAATGAGAGTTTGCATGCTTATCTAATACTAATAGTTACTTGTCAAGACTTAATTTCAAATTTATTCTATTTCTTCTGATGACAAAAAGCAGCCATAGTGCCTATCTCTTCTTAGGCTTTATAGGGCTCTTTTTCATAGTTTTTGTTCACTACCATATGAACGAACAAACTTCTGATGTGGCTCATGGCGGGGATAGTTATAATGCTGCTATAATTGCTGTAGTAGGGACAGTCAGTTCGCGTTGTACATAGACGAACGTCTTCTGATCAATCCGGATGTGGGAATCCTGGTTCTCCATCAGGACTTTCCCAGGCGCCTGCTTTATCAACTGGGATGGGTGGTCAACGAGGCGAAGTCGTAACTTATTCCATCTTACTGACTCCAATTGATAGGAGACCCGTTTCAAACAGATTTGGACTTCCTAACAGTGCCATGGGACAGGTGGCTCAAGATACTGTACCATCTGTCACCTGCCCTTCGACAACCCCTCACACTTCACCAGTGTTGTTGGGATTGCTCACATCAGCCCAGAGGTCGATTGCACCTATGGCCGATCCAACGGTTTCTGACGCTCTACATCGGACGTCAGGACACCTACGTAGCCATCACTCCACCGCCTCACCTGCTGAAGCAGGGCACCACTCACACACACTCTCTACCCTACCCGAAGCCAGGAAGGTTTAATCTATACGCCTGGTTCATTTACAGACAGCATTAGACAAATAAGGCTATCGGCACGAGCTGCTATTGCTATGGCACATAGACCCTCGACTCAAGGCCTTTACGATTATAAGTGGCAATCATTTGAGACCTATTGTAAAGAAAAGGCTCAAGATCCCACTAAAGCCTCACCTCAATTCTTGGCCGAGTATCTCCTACACTTGCGTACCAAACGACACTTGAAAGGCAGCACCATCACTACATATTTGGTAGCTTTATATTCAGTGTTGGCATTAGCAGAGGATCGTAAAATGACCAAGATTCAGGAACTGAAGGCTTTGTTATGCTAATTTAGGCTTAAGGGTCAGAATGCCAAATTTTGTCCCCGTGTGTGGGATTTGAATGTGGTACTTCAATGTTTGCGTGGAACTCCATTTGAGTCCTCCATGCCACATAATTCTTCAACCTCACCAAGAAGACAATTTTACTCTTACACTAACCATGGCAGCTAGAGTGAGAGAGATTCAGGTGGCCGATATCACTTGTGTACGCTTTGAGCTGGGTACGCACCTCAGGTTATAGTGGGATTTTATAGCTAAAAACCAGTTGCCAGGACAACCCAGTCGGTCTTTCACTATCCAACCATTATTCCATTATGGGAGCGGAAGACAGGGATGAACTCGTATTATCATGATTATGCCAGGTGTGTGCACTACGAGTTTTCATCTGCTGCTCAAAGACTAGGCGTGGTAAGTGGAAACGATTTATAACCCTGTTTCTGAGATGTTCACAACCGAAGTCAGCTGCAATACCATTTCATTATTGTTGCAAGCTATCATCCTTCAGGCTTATGAGATTGCTGAGCCACTCTGCGCTAATATCAAATAACTCCCTTGAGATTCGGTGATTGACTGGATGATGGCTCTATACAGTAAGAGCAATCATGGAAGGATGTTTTTGGAGGGCTGACTCAGTCTTCACCAGCCACTACCTGAGGTATGAAGTATTTACAGTTTGGGACTGCTGGTTGTAGCATAGCAAGTAACCAATCTGCGACGCCATAAAAAAAAATTGAATCATGTCCAGAGCAAGCCTTACTCTTCTCGCATGGTTTTATTTCTTGCTTGTTTGGGGGCTTTACTGCGTATACACTATGATGGCTTGGTAACCCAGTTTCTTGACCTTAGCACACAGTATTGTCTTTTACTGTTTGTAAACCAGCACGTACTCCTACTCTCGTTACCTTTTCATGGACATGATTGGCTGATCAATTCCCGATCTGCGCAGAAGAATTGTGCGGTGTGGCTGACACGACTTTCAGTAGGGAGAGTTTTTTTGAGCAGATATCTGAAGGTATTCGTGCCTCAATACCATGGGATAAAGATGCATTAAGGAGTAATGCAGGATATTGTTAAGAAATCTAGTAAAATCTAGATACTTTTTATATTTGTATACTTATCCTGCATTACTACGTCTAGGGCCCACCAATCGCAGACCTGCCTCCCGAGGACATATTACGTGTGACGAACAGTAATATGAAGACATCAGTCATCTACCACTTCTGGTATGATGTGGCAGCTCAGCGATAGAAACAAACAGTTTTCATCCGCTAACTCTTAAAAAGGGCAAATTTCTACTAGTCCTTATGATACCATAACTATTGGGCAGTTTGGCAAGGACTATAGGACTAGTGCCAATTTCTACTGCTGCCTGAGCTAGTGATTGGAGGGTCCTGCATCTGAATGGAACAGCACTTTATCTTTTAGCTTCACTATTGTCAGATGGTGGCAGTGAATGCATTGAGGAGAAATGAAATGTACTAATCTAAAAAATATCTAGATTTTACTAGTTTTAATTAAGAGGTTTGTCAGCACTGATTAGTGTAACAAGTACGATAACAAGATAGAAAGCACTGGTAAGGAAGTTATTTATTTGTATATCTTTGTTTTGACCCAAATATAGGTAACAACAATCAACAAAACAACTTGCATGCACCTCTACGTAGGACATATTCAGTCACTCCACCTGTGGGCGTTCCAAACCCAGAGAAAACTGTTACTGATTGGTTGCGCACCAATGACAACCACCTGTCTCGGGGCAACTCCAACAACTCTACCTGTGAACATGCTCCCCTGTCCCCCCAGAGCAGCATCACCTCCTCGGGAAGTGGCAGTGACACCCACCCCGATGATGGAGGCCCCCAGCCTGTGAGAAACAGCTTTTTGGAAGATGGTAGCGGTATGAGAGGTAGGTTCAACATGATAATCAGACAATGTTATTGCCATCATGGAATCACATTGGAGTATAACTAACATTGATGAATAACATTGGCTACTTGGTTAACGCAGAGATGCCAACCATAACATTTATAGCATAATAGTTAAGATTTTTAGCCTAAAATTATGCCATTACGCTTGTTCTCCAAATTACGATTTCTGTCAGTTTTGTCATGATATATTTACATGCATAACATATCACGGAGAGATAATTGTAAATGCACTGGTGACATGAAGCTTTCTACAGTGAAACTAAACTGATCAGTGAGAGCAGCGGTAGAAACTAACATATTTAGTCCACCAGTCCTTATAATGATAACACAGACATAGCAAAACCCTTAAAAATGGCAAATTTCTACTAGTCCTTACATGTTATGATACCTTAACTATTGACCAGTTTGGCAAGGACTATAGGACGTTGGAGAGTCATGCTTTCAATCCACACAATCCATTACTCCATGATACAAGGTCTCTGAATGGTTGTTATGTTGAAACACACTAGTCATGTCAACAGTCGATGCATATACACTGATATTACTTCAGAACTCGTAAACATCACATTTTCTTTCTGAAAAACAGTTCATTAGTATTTCTTGATGACTTTTATGAATAAGTGGAGCATTGACCATGTGTTTTGCTCAAGTCAAGGCCTAACCAAAATGTTGAAGTGTAAACCTGCATCGTGGTCCTGTTAACATTACTCATGAAATTACACTTTTTTATTCCACTAATTACTCCAAAGCTTCAATTAGGGTTGACATCACTGATAATATTGCTTAGATATGTATTTTTTATGGATACAAATGATACAGGGTTCTGTTTTTTCTATGTCTGTAGTTTCGGTTATATCTCTGAGATTTTGTTATCTCTGGGAAACAGGTTAATAAGGTTCTGACTAAGACAACCTAAAAACAGTCTAGAAATAAAAAAACATCTTAAAGAATTATTAAAGACACTCTAGTTAAAAACTTAAATAGTGAAAATGCAATCAGAAATGTGAAACAACATTGGGTTACAGTTGGCAAGCCAGGTGAGGTTTCCTAATCTAGGAGTAAGGGTCAGTTATGTGTAAGTCTGTGATTACCATTGTCAGTGATTAGTAATTTAAATTAAATGTTTGTCCAATTTTGTTTAACTGAGAGGGTTTGTTGCAGAGGTTCCAGTCTGGCTGAAAAATCTTCGTCTGCACAAGTACTCCTATCTATTTCGACAGATGACGTATGAAGAAATGATGAATCTATCTGAGGAATGGCTGGAATCTCAGGTACACTGACAAAAATCAGACATGTGGTTGTTGCAGTCTCTGACATACAACAAAAGTCTCCCGAGTCGAAAAACATGTTTTCAGATCAACAAGCCCAACTGATAATATTCAGTAAATCAAAAAGTGTGTGGCCTATCGAAGAAAATTGTTCAGAATAAAAACTGTTCACGCATTATATTTCAATATAATTTCTTTTGACGTCAATACACCTGGTCTGGTGATGCTTCAGCTTTGATATCCCTGTGTGAAGGCCAAGTTTTCCACATATGACATCACAAAAAGATTTGAATGATGTCAACAATGTCATCTGGATGACTTAAACAATAGACCAGTGCACGTGAAGTGATATTTGCCCTAATGCACATATGAATTTTTATGAACAAAGGGTAATAAATTACTTTGCCCACTTGTCCGAAGCCCAAGACAGTTCGGTGTAGTAATCACAGCTAATAATAGTCCATATAGGATCACATGAAATGGACTAAAAATGATGTTAAGAGCCAAGTTCAGGCTACAAGACTTGTATTTTACTGATAACTCAATATTTATTTTATAATTGGTCAGATTTATAGAGACAGTATTTTTGCACAAATTTTACTTTCATAATGACTGTATTTTCAGAATGTGACAAAAGGTGCCCGTCATAAGATCATCCTGAGCATTGCCAAGCTGATAGAGAGGCAGGATCTGCTTCGGGCACTGGAAAAGGTAAACATTAAAATGTTAAGCCTAACACATTTCACCTCCCATTTTGTATTGTTTTAATTATTTGAATCTTATATTCCCATGAGGGATGGCTCAGTATGTATATTTTAGTATGTTCCGTATGTACTTTATTTTTTAGGTGAAACTATAATAAAATATGTCTGTCTTAATGTCTGTCTGTCCCACTTAGTCATGTTCCGATGAGTGCCTATAAGTACTGCTAGTGATGTTTGATTTATGGATTGTAATTACATGGTTGATTTGTTACCCAGTACCAATGTAATGATCCATTATGAGTTCACTGGTACCTACCATGTCCAGAGTGAAGAACATCATCAGACCAAACAGTTGGAAATGTTTCAATCATAAAACATATTATCTTTTGTTTTTTGGTTGATGTTCACTACATGAATAACTACAGTGCATGCTGCCATTTTCTTGACAAGGTGCAACCTTAGAAAGCTGCCTGTAAAATATAGAGAAATGGGGCAATGGGTTTTATGTTTGGTGAGACAAGAGTCAGCTATTTCCTGTAATTATATCATCAATTAACTCTGTTTTAATTAACTAGGCTTTGTTTAGTTTTACTATTAGCATTTTATTCAAAATCTCTGATACATGCCTTCTGTTTTCTGATTTGATGATAACACTTCTACTTCTGAAAATGCCAAATAATGTACAAGAACTTTGAAACCATCCTCTGTGATATGACGACCATGTGTTTTAAGGTATATTGTACATGCTTGAACAAGCTAAGTTGTAAACACCCATGCTTGTTTTTTGGCAAAGTTTTATGAATAGAACTTGTGGAATTATTATGTGTGTTGTCAAAAATTGAATATTTTTTACTTATCCTGCATTACTCCTTAATGCATTCACTGCTTACTTACGACAACTAGAAGGACAGCGCTGCGAAGGTCCTGGGTGAAGAAATAAAGTTGTTGTTCTCAAGTCCCAATCAGTGGCCTTCCGTCGCTGTCCTGTGACCTTGATGACACCTAAGGTCATCTTCACATCACTGCTTGTCGCAGCACACCTTTTGGATTAATTTTAGACCTTCAGTTTGTCTACAATCTTAAAAATTGATCTGCGATGGGTGATGTATTCTTTTCATATTACTTTCACCATGTTGTGTAGTTTTATGTGAATAATTAGGCGTGAAAAGACTCTTGTCTTTTTTCCCGCCAAAATATTGTTGTTCGCCACCATTTTGAATTGTGTTACAATCGTTTGCCTGCCAAGGTAGTCATATTGTTTACAATTCTCAGCTACGTATGTATAACATATTCTTATGTTCTTAAATACTACTAGCTTTGGCGTAACAGTGAGTTGCGTATACTAAAATTATTGTATACTTTTTCAACTCGTTAAAAATATGGTTGCCAATAGATTAATATCAAATCTACGGCTTTCTACCAGTCCCGCTTCATCAACAATTCTTTTATTGCGTACCTATGTTTATGCGATTAAATGGTTCTTTTGTTGGTATTTTTGGTTTTACATTGAGTTGCGTATATGAACTATTATATACTCTTGCAACTCGTAGTTTTTGACGATAGATTATTGTTCAATTCTATGGCATTCTTCCAGTACCGCCTCATCAACAAGGGTTTAATTGCGTAACTTATGATTGAGCGTGGTACTAATTGTCGTGGGAAAAATCTTACAAAGATTATCATCCACGTTGTTTGGTTTGCGCGCAGATGTGCTCTCCAAACCCTAAAAAAAATATAAATACCCTTGGTTTACATTGAGTTGCGCATACAAAAATATTGTATACCCTTGCAACTCATAATTTTGCCGATAGATTAGTGTTCAAATTCTTTGGCATTCTTCCATTATTGTCTCATCAACAAGGGTTTAATTGCGTAACATACCTTTGAGCATTGTACTAATTGTCGTGGAAAAAAACCTTACAAAGATTATCATCCACGTTGGTTGGTTTGCGCGCGGATGTGCTCTCCAATCTCTAAATGTAAATAGCCTTGGTTTACATTGAATTGCGTATATAAAAATATTGTATACCCTTGCAATTCGTATTTTACTGTAGATTACTGTTAAATTCTACGGCATTATTCCAGTACCATTTCTTCAATGGTTTAATTGCGTAACTTATGTTTGCGTGGTGTACATATTGTCGTGGAATAATCGCCCAAAGCTCTTTATCCACGGTCCTAGGCATGCACGTAGATGTGCTCACCAAAATTCAAAATGTAATTTTTGTGTAAATCTCTTAACCAACGAGTTTACTATATAAAAGCAGATTACTCACAATCATATTTTGCAGTTATTCCGTCGTGAGACGAGAGGAATGTCACTATCGCAGAATAGCGAATGACATATGGTTCTGTCATTACCACCCAACCGTTATTAGCGGCAGGTTTATGACGCCTGTGATTGCAGAAGTACACCATCCACCGAAATCAACAATACCGGAGGATTTTGTGAGTATCGTAACTGCTCCTATTTTTTCAGCCGCCGGACACTTCCAGATACATGTATGATGATCTGTGACGTCGGCGACAGCACCAGCGTATCGAGATGCTATGATGGGGGTAGATTAGACGCAAGCCTTGATCCAGTCAATACTTTTTAGCTTTGTGTCTGATTTATCTGCGCCGAGCGCAGCACTTGACTACAACCCAAGCACTTCTATTACGCAAGCGACGCACGATCAGCTTAGCGCTGTTCCAACATATCCAGCATAGACCTGCGCCGAGCACAGCGTCTGACTGCTACCCAAGCGCTTCTATTACGCAAGCGGCGCACGATCAGCTTAGCGCTGTTCCAACATATCCAGCATAGACCTGCGCCGAGCGCAGCGTCTGACTGCTACCCAAAGCGCTCCTATTACGCAAACGTCGCACGATCAGCTTAGCGCTGTTCCAACATTCCAGACCTGCGCTGAGCGCAGCGTCTGCGTACCAATCAAGGTCTCTACAATGACGTTAGCCCAAGGCTTACAGTGTACTCGGTTACGTAACCGGCACATGATCAGCTTAGCACATGTACCCGATTGGGAAGCAGACCATCTCGTGTCAGTAACGCCCTTCCCTGATAACAGGGTAAATAAGAGGGACACCATGAGGTCATTGGAGGAAGACTTCTCCAAAACTCACATTTGCTCCGTGATTTAAGCGACCAATATCGTCAATGTTTGCAGTGGATCAGAATCTATTAGAGGATAACCCTATCTGATTAGATCACTTCCAAACTATGGTGTTTTTCCTACAGCGTCAGTTTGACCACAGGAAAATTCATCTTGAGACCGTTCTGACGGAGATTACCGTTACACCCTAGACTTTATAGCGTTTCCAACTGAGATGCTGGTTTCAAGGGCAGTCTAGTACGTCAACCTTGATCATCTACTCCCCTGTTCAACGAACAGATCGCAGACACGCACGTCAAGTTCCCAAAAAGCTTGGAAAGTCCAAGCGGGCTGGCAAGTCAGGGAATTATAAGCCTAGACACGCGTTTCTCAGGGAAGACCAGCATTCCCTTACTGAGGAAGGGAGTGGCAGAGACAAGTCTCAAGGACGATTTCGTACTTATCGCACTATATCATGGTGTCCGCATAAGGGTAGAGATAACCCCACCGTTGACCACAGTTTGATTGGGAAAATCCAACATAGACATACTGTTGGTAAGAAGAGCTGTAGAGTGGGTTCACAACCCAGTCTTCACATGTCAATAACTGGGATAGACAATCAACGAGGCGAAGTCGGGAGTATTCTCCTTCCTATTGACTTCAGTTCATAGGAGACCTGTTCAAGACAGACCAGGATATCCTATCTGTACCGAGGGACAGATGGCACAAGTTTCTACTTCTTTTGTCATCTACTCTACACCAACCACACACACTTCGCCAGTGGCAAGTGTTGCTAGGGTTAATCACCTCGGCACAGGAGTTAACTAGCATGGGCCGCTTACAACTGCGACCAATTCAATTTTTTCCTGAACCCTTACATCAGCTATAGCTTTAGTTCATCGTTACTCTCCCAGAGACGACGATGACAAGTGGGGATCACTTGAGACTTTTTACAGGGAAGAAATGAAATCAAGACCCTACGATTGCGTCACAATTCCTAGAGGAATACCTCCTACATTGCGTACCCAAAAACACTTGGAAGGTAGCACCATTACTATGTAATTGGCTGCAATTATCTTAGTGTTTGCCGTTTCCGGAAAATCACAATGTGATTAAGGTCACGGAACTACAGGCCATATTATGCTCATTCAGGCTTGAGGATCAGAAGGCCAAGTTCCACCCACCTGATTGGGACTTGAACGTGGTACTTCGAGGTTTGCGAGGGCCCCCTTCGAGCCCCTCATTGCATCCTCATTTTCAAGCTCCTTCCCAGCGCGTGACACCTTCGTTACACTCTCGGTATAGTATAGAGAGCTCCGCGAACGGGCTATCGCTGTGAGGAGCTTGGACCTCACCAAGGAAACAATGGTTTCTCTTGGCGTTAGCAATGGTGATACGGGTGAGCGAACTACATGTGATCGACTCAACCCGGATCCGTTTTGAGCGTGGGACGCACGGAACGGGACATCTAGGGTTATGCTGGGATTTTATTGCTAAAATCTACTACCAGGCCAACCCGACCGTTCCTTCACCATCCCACCGATATCGACTATTGTGGGAATCGTACATGGTAAAGTTCTCCTGGGCTCGGTGCGAGCAGTTCGAGTTTTCATTTGACGCTCCAAGACTAGGCGTGGTTCGTCCACGACAGAAGTTAGTCGCATAATCGCAAACACCATATCTCTATGGTTACGCGCAGTAATCCTTCAGGCCTACGAGATCATCAACGGAACTCGCCGAGAGCAAATTACCCTCAAGATCTCAAGGTGTCAGCCTTACCAGGGGTCAACACGGTAATTGTGGTTTTGGAACAATCACGGAAGGATATTTCTGGAGATTCGACACATATTTTCGTTAGTCATAACCTTCGCGTTGTGACTCTCGAGGATGTCGAAGACGTTCGAAGTTTGGCCCTCTGGTTGTTATCCTGCAGATTGCCAACCACTGACGCAAATAATGAACTCGCCCTATACAGAGCCAGTCAACTTCCATGTGCAGTCACTCAGTCGCCACCAGTGGAAGAATATTAGACAATCTTGTTTGTCAGCGATGGCTCTATGACGCAGTAAGTAAAGAATTAGCTGAATAGCTATTATTTTCTTTATTACTAAGCGTGTATAGGGAATTTCTCTTTAATCCCTATGTTCAATCTTTTTGATTTTTGAACAACCCTACCGTAATGGCGTTTTTTGTCTGAACTTTTCCGCTTCACGGTTTATCGACCAACTGGTGTCGTATTGCAGGGTGTGAATTATTGAGGTTTCTGTATTCTGAAGGTTTACCCACCTCCAAACCGTCCGATACAGATGCATTAAGGAGTAATGCAGGATAAGTAAAAAATTTAGTAAAATCTAAATATGTTTTACATTTGTATACTTATCCTGCATTACTACTCTTAAGGCCCACCCGTCGTAAGACTTGCCTCCCCACTTTGGCTTCAGAAACCTCAAAAGTATGTTTTTCTAAGAGCTTGGGCGACAGGCAGTGATGTGAAGATGACCTTAGGTGTCATCAAGGTCACAGGACAGTGACGGAAGGCCACTGATTGGGACTTGAGAACAACAACTTTATTTCTTCACCCAGGACCTTCGCAGCGCTGTCCTTCTAGTTGTCGTAAGTAAGCAGTGAATGCATTAAGGAGTAATGCAGGATAAGTATACAAATGTAAAAAATATTTAGATTTTACTAATTTTGAGATGACTTGACCAGTTATGGGTCATGCCTCCAAGATTGGTCAAACATTCATTTATAAGGCAATGTTTGGTTGTAATCAATCTCCCAATGACAATTTTAGGGAGTCCTGCCAACTCCCAACATGGCTTCTGATCGAATGTTGAAGTGAAGTACTGTTTCAAGCAGTCACAACCCAACCCAAGCTAACTCACTCAAATCAAGTATCAAGAAACAGATTGACTCATTGTTATCGCCCTCACATATAATGCGGGGGGTTATTGTTGTCACCTCATCTGTCTGTCTGTCTGTCTGTCTGTCTGTAATCATTTTGTTTCAAAACATTTGAAACAATTTGTACTTTGTCTCCCAAAAAGGGGTGGTGGATTTTGTATTTGGAACACAAATCAAAATCGATCCATTTCTTTCAACAAAACTTGGCAGATATATCAAACATATCCTGAAGTGGTGCCTTTTACTATTTGCAGATCTCAAAAGGGGAGGTAGATTTCATTTCCAGGGCACAACTTTAAAATTGTGAAAAACTTTTCATCCAAACTTGGTACATGTATTAACCAAGAGCTGAAGTGATGCCCTTTGCTATTTAGGATTTTTAAAATATTTTTCCCTGTTTCCATGGAAACAAGTTAGACCTAACTGAAAGGCAAAATGGAGGAAGGTGCCTTTTCCGGAGAAAATGTGAAAAAAACCATTTAACATTTATTAATCAGGGGTAGAAGTGGTGGCTTTTGCTATTTAGGAATTTTAAAAAAAACTATTATTATTTTTCGGTTTCCATGGCAACGAGTTTGGCTTTGACTCTGTTCATAGTTGGGGCGGTCAGGTAGCCTAGTGGTTAAAGCCGAGGACCTGGGTTCGATTCCCGACATTGGTACATTATGTGTAGCCCATTTCTGGTGTCCCCCAGTCGTGATATTGCTGGAATATTTCTAAAAGCGGCGTAAAACCACACTCACTCACTGTTCATATCTTTAAAAATGATAGGTATTCTTTCATGAAACTCTGCACACAAAAACAAGGTTGTCAACTAGCGCCCTTTGCTATTTGGGAATTCATAGAATATAGATTTTTTCCATTCCAAGGCAATAAGTTTGACTTTGACTCTCTTCATATTGGTGTGTACCTGACATAGAAATACAAAGTTCTGAATCCCAATTCCATGGTTTTGTTTTGATAGCTCAATACCTACTCTTGTATACGGAGTAGATAAAAATCCTTTAATTTGCCTCGTTAAAGTAACAGTTAGATTTGTTCTTCCGAATTTGCGGGGGCCGGGAGAATTTGTCATCTTCTGATGACTGTTATTACCGTATTCGACGTTATAAGCGCCTAGCTCTAATAAGCGCCCACGGAGATATTTACTAATATATTGGCTAGTGAACAATCCCAATTAGCACCCCTTCCGATTGATCAATGTACACAGGACTTATTCATTCGTGTATAATACTTATGTTATATGTATTCTTAATTATGGGAAATTAAATTCTGGAAAAAATATATCTGTCGTATATAAACATTTCAGGTTGTCAGCATAATCCATGAAATTTACGATCTTTCAACTCTGTTGTTTTTCACCAAAATAATATCCTAATAAGAGCCCCCTATTTCTAACTTTGAGAGAGCCCTGGGCGCTTATTATGTCGAATACGGTATTCTTTGTTGAGGCAGCAGCCAGTTCATGTGTGCCATATGAAGATGGAGGAATTTCTTTTTGCAGGACATAATGGAAAAGGGTTCCATAAAGCAGGCCATTACAGAGATGAGGAACATGTTGAACACACCTATCAAGGGTCACGTACCTGCTACAGCCGTCTCATCAGTAGTGTCTCCACCAATTTCCCCATCCACTACACCAAGTGACAGTGATGGCAACAAAATAGCAGAAGGAGACATTACTGGCCAGTTTACAAGACTCATGGGAAAAGGTCAGAAATGTTCATAGAATACTGTATAATCAAACTTTGCTATTGTCAGACACAACACAGTTTATCAAATGTATCTTCTATAAAATCATGAACCTCAAGAAGACATAACCCTCTCCCCTCACAAAGATCTTCACTTTTTTGTTCACAATTTACGTTGTGGTTTGTTGTCTGTCCATCCATCTGTCATAAAAGGGGGTTGCTCAATAAATATCAATTTCAGGGTGACCTGTGTAAGTTCTAGGTCAAAATATTGGATTAACTCATGAGAAATCTAAGCATTTTCCAATCACATATGATTGACTCTCAATAATTAATATAATATCTGTGATATTCCATGGCCGTGTCAAATGTCATGATGGCTTTGAAAATCATTCAGTCATGAAAAGACTTGCAGGGTCTTACTTTAACTTACAAAAGTGGGTGTCCAGGGAACCCCCATAATTAATTTTTAGGCAGTGTGAGGGTCCTTTTAAAGTAATGAATTGGTGTGGTGTACTGTATGTTTTGATAATTACGTTAGAGCCTGGAATGAATCAGTGATCATGTGGACAGTGGTCATGATTGTAGGATGAAATGACCGACACTCATGACTGCTCTTGATGCGCTGTAGGTACAAATGAGAGTTATCACCCTTTTATCATTAGGCCCAATCAGCTTTAAGCTTTCGTTTGAGAATCTCTTATTCTGGTCACTCGCTTATCATGAACGGCTTCTAAGAGAGAGCTGTCAAAGGGGCCATGATTGTTAAACTTTTTATCCCCCCCCGGCATATAATGCAGGGGGATATAGCTATGGGCATGTCCGTCTGTCTGTCTGAATCGTTTCCGGAGCAGAACTCCAAAACCGTCAAATATTTATTCATCAAACTTTGCATTTATATCACTTAAGTGTTGAAGTTATGCCTTTTGCTATTTTGGAATTTTCCAAAAAATTTTATTTTCAAATTTTCATGAAAGCATGCTGGACATAGGCTAACTTTGTGAGTGATGTTTGTTTCCGGAGCAGAACTCCAAAACTGTTTAAGATTTCTTCATCAAACTTTGCATTTATATCACTCAAGTGGTGAAGTTGTGCCTTTTGCTATTTTGCAAGTTTTCCAATTTTTACATCTCAAATTTTCATGAAAGCATGCTGGACATAGGCTCACTATGTAAGTGATGTTAGTTTACGAAGAAGAACTCAAAAACTGTTGAATATTTCTCCATGTTACTTTTCATAGGTTTAAACTACATACTGAACAGGTGCCTTTTGCTATTAAGGAATTTTAGAAATTTTTATTTTATATGTTTCCATGGCAACAAGTTGGACTTAGGTTCTATAAGCATGATAAGGGTGATGTTCATTTCCGGAGCATAACTCAAAAATCGTTAAATACTTTCTTACAAAACTTTGCATGTCTAACACGCACATACTGAACTGGTGCCTTTTGCTATTTAGGAATTTTATAGATTTTTATTTTTTTTTAAGGTTCTATAAGGGTAGAGTTCGTTTCCGGAGTATAACTCAAAACCCATTCAAAACTTTATAACAAAACTTTGCATGTCTACCAGGCACATACTGAACTGGTACCTTTTGCTATTTAGGAATTTAAGATTCTCTTTCAGATTAAATCCTCCTTGGGGCACTTATTGCATTTTCCTTGCTCAAGAAAATCTACATGACATAGTTGTAACCATTTTCCTTAATAAAAAGTGTTACCACAAGAAAAAGAGCGTTTTTGTATGATATACAACCACCCCAACGGGGCCTCACCCTCTACAGGCGACACACGCCAAGGGGAGCGACTCTCACCCAAATCACTTTTTCTTATGTCATCTGATAGTACAGACGTACGTCAAGACTCCAAGAGAATTAACTTCCTCCAACTTATCGTTGATACCGAAGACATGGCTCAAACTGTATGTGTGGTATTTTTTCCCTTTCTTTCTAAGCAAAGGCGTAATTCCTCGCATTTATGGGTTTTATAATATGTTGTACCTCGGCTGCCACGTGCTCGTAGCACGTGGGGTGGCCGCTGTGTAGCTTATTCTGTTTGGTAAAATTCCATGTTCGGGTACAACTGACATGGCTTTTTTTATCTTAACTTTATTTCGCTACATTATTTCCTATTCAACCCGGCTGTAACTTTCATAAAGCCCTGCGGGCGCAAGTTACTGTGTGTTTTTTTCCACTTGTGGGGGGGGGGGTTTACTACGCTCCCTGTTTATATGTTACAAATGTATACATGGCCTTGGCTATCGATTTCGCGTGTCGCATTTTCGTTACGCCTTTGCATATGTTGTGTTGTACTTTTGCATGTATCTTTCTGCAATTTTGACAATTCGCACTGATACATCCCCCCCCCCCCCCCCCCCCCCCCAGTTCCCTACCGTTTAGTGTTGTCGGTCTGTTGCAGACTTTCCGAGGTTGTTTGGGATGCGACGCGGCGATTTCACCGCAGGTCTCACACCCTGAATGCATTCGCTGCTTGGCTGAGGAGGGCCACGATGACCAGTCGTGTGCCATATGTTGCGCCTTCACTCCTAAGGCCCGAAAGCGTAGACATGCTGACCTCATTCATTATATGGGATTATTAGAGGCGGGGGCAGACATCCGTTCGGCTAAATCTGACCCCCCCCCTGTCTAAAGGTAAGGGCAAGACGACCAAGTCTTCCGCCCCGGTCCCTTCCACCTCCGCTGCGCCTGTATCACAGTCCGGGGGTGAGGGCTCTCGAGGGGCCTCGTGGAATGCCCGGCCTCGGCCGTGGCGGGCCACTTGGCCTCGGGGACATCTCGCGTCTGGGCTTCGGCTCCGGTTTGCGGTCGCTCCCCGGCGGAGGGGTGGCGGGCGACGGCCCGTCCACTTCCTCCGCTTTGGTTTCCCTGGCGGAGCCGGAGGCTTTTATCGAGCCCGAGGCTTCGTCCAGTGGACCCGTGCCCGTGAGCCAGGTGGGTTCTCTTGAACCCCCAGCACCTCGGGACTGGGACCCGCTGTCGGACCGGGACAGTCGGGGGAGGCGGGGCCCAGGCCTTCGGGCGCCCCCTTCCTGTTCCATCTACTTCCTCTCTTGCCGATGAGTCGGAGGCTACCTTCGTCTCGGAGTCGAGGGAGGGGATGACTCTGAGGCTCTGGGGATTTTTTCCTTCGCTTCCTCGCTGAGGCATGTCAGGGCCATGTCAGGGCCAAGGCTAAGCAGGGCCGGTGTTTGCCACCCTTCCCTATGTGCGGGGTGGAGCTGTTGCCGGAAGTTCCCGTGGGCGGCCGACTCTCTCTCTTCCTGACGGAATGGGAGCGTGTGTCTTCCAATCCCTGGGTCATGTCCACGCTCAGGGAGGGCCACTTACCTCAGTGGAAACTTCTTCCGCCCCCCTTCTCCGGGATACGGCGCACTCCGGTGCCCGCTGCCCGAGTGAAGGCAGACATACTTCGTGCCGAGATCTAGGACTGCTAGACAAAGCTGCTATCGAACCGGTTCCGTTGGGACAGGAGGGCGAGGGTTACTACTCGACTTATTTCCTCGTCACCAAAAAAGGCGGAGGGTTCAGGCCTATTCTCAATCTGAGAAGGCTGAACAATCTTATAGAGGTACCGTCCTTCAGGATGGAGACACTGCACTCGGTGATCTCCGCTGTCGAGACAGGAGAATGGCTAACGTCAATAGACCTAAAAGACGCCTATCTCCACGTACCCATACACCCCGAGTTCAAGAAATGCCTGAGGTTTTCTTTTGACGGAAGGTGTTATCAGTTCAGGGTTCTACCATTCGGGATCTCAACGGCCCCGAGGGTGTTCACCAAGCTGATGTTGATTCCCGCCCAAGTGGCCAGGTCAAAAGGTCGGTTCTGCCATCCGTACCTCGACGACTGGTTACTAAGAGCTCTATCGCAATCCCTGAGTCAGATAGCTACACAAGATCACTCTAGGGTGGATAGTCAATCTCAAGAAGTCAGATTTGAGCCCTACTCAGAATCTAGTCTTCCTAGGGGCGAATTTCAACACGGTGAGCGGTCTTGTATCTCTGTCCCCAGATCGCATTACCAAGGTCAGAAGTGTTACTTCCCAGTTCCTTCTGTCCACGAGTCACACTGCTCGTACATGGCTCCAGTTACTGGGCAACATGGCGGCGACAGTGGATGTGGTTTGGCGAGCACGTTTGCGAATGAGACCCATTCAGCAGGCGTTGCGTCAGTTGTGGGCGAACTCGAATGTTCTCGAGACCCCAGAGTGGCTCATTCCACACCTTCAGTGGTGGACCGAGGACGGGAATCTGTCCCGGGGGCCCCCCTCGACACTCCCGTTCCGTCTCTCACGGTTCAGACAGACGCGTCACTATCCGGCTGGGGAGGCGTTCTGAACGATCACACTGCCTCGGGACGGTGGTCCCTGCAGGAGATCGAGCTGCACATCAATGTGCTGGAACTGAGAGCGGTCAGGTTGGTATTCGAACGCTTCTTGGGTCTGCTTCGTGGCCAGGTGGTTCGTCTAGAAATGGACAACCAGACGGCGATGACTTACATCCGGAAGCAGGGGGGAACGGTGTCTCCGTCGCTTCTCCAAGAGACGTGGCAGTTCCTCCTCCAAGAGACGTGGCAGTTCCTCCTATGGTGCTACCTTCACGTTATCAGGGTGATACCTGTTTATCTCCCGGGGGTGGACAACTTCCGTGCGGACGCTCTGTCTCGCCGGATCCTCGCTCCTTACGAGTCGAGGCTCGACCTGGGGATATTCGGGATTATCTCCCGCTTATACGGGTCGTTCCAGGTGGATCTGTTTGCGTCTGGGGTGAACCACCAGACGCCAGTGTTCTGCTCCCGAGTCCCCGACCCGAGGTCGGCGGCACCGGATGCCTTCCGGCTAGATTGGACGAACAGAGTTCTGTGGGCATTCCCCCCATCCACTCCATTCCCAGGGTCCTTTCTCAGCTAGCCACTCAGCCTGCGCGGCTTTTTGTGCTCCTGGCACCTCTTTGGTCGGCGCAGAGTTGGTTTCCAGTCATACTCAGGTTTCTGGCTCAGCCTCCTGTTCTATTACCTTTACGACCGGACCTCCTATCCCAGAACGGGGCACTCCACCCGAATCCCAGGATTCAGTGGGTGGCTTGGCCACTGTCAGGAATCGCCTCCAGGAGAGCGGTATTCCTGCACGAGTTGCAGACACAATACTGACTTCGCGGAGGGATTCGACAAACGTTCAATATGAGGATAGATGGGCCTGCTATGCGCGCTGGTGTGTTGATAGAGGGCATGCATATCCCTTTTCTGTGGATCTAGTCGCGGTGTTAGAGTTTCTCCAATCTCGACTTGATCCCGGCCTGGCCGCTTCGACAGTCAGGGGGTACTTGACAGCTATTGCGGCCTTTCACGTCCCTATCGATGGGGCACTTCTGGGTGCGCACCCTTTAGTGCAGCGCTTTTTGGCGGGTGTGGACAGGATCCGACCGCCTGTACGGCTTTGTAATGCTCAGTCTCCTCTCCCCTCTCCGGGAATGACGATTCTTTGATAGGCGTCTTGTCCCTAGCGGTTATTGTCCCCGTTATCACTTGTACAAAAAGTGTGTGTTGGGGGAGGGGGGGGGTGGTGTTCTTGAGTTTTCACTCGTTTTATGATAAAGCCCACTACTGCGGCTTTTTTCATAGCGTATGGTCAGACCACGCCCTGTCTCAAGCCCCCGCCTCTCGACGGTGGTGCCTCACGATAAGGTGGGTTCCATTTTTTTAATTCTCTTGTCTTGTAATACGATGTGTTTATTTACGCTTGTTGCAGACGGATGCCATTTCCTTTAATTGTCTTTAGGAGTCTATCTTGATGCAATAAGTGCCCCAAGGAGGATTTAGTCTGAAAGAGAATCGTACAAACCTGTAGAGGTTATGGATTCTCTGATGAAATCCTCCTTGGGGCACGGCCGCCCGCCTCCCCACATTCCGTCTGCTATGAGACATTGGAAAAGTGATTTGGGTGAGAGTCACTCCCCTTGGCGTGTGTCGCCTGTAGAGGGTGAGGCCCGGTTGGGGTGGTCGTATATCATACAAAAACGCTGTAATTTGTCATTTGTTAGCATAAATAAACCCCACAGAAACACACTTGTTTTACTTTCCATTTCATATGGATGCGACCATGATGGATCTTTTGTGGGTAAACAATGTATGCTTCTTCAAGAACATACAACTCTTGACTCATTACATACAGAATTGCACATTTACTTGTGGTTACTTTACAGACAGCTGCCGGGGGGATATGTCATCTTTCTGATGACTCTTGTTTCCGAAACTATGAGAATGTGGCCTTAGATATTGAAGAGGACGGGAAAGCTACCGATAAGCATGGACCCATTAAAAAATCTGATAATCTCGACAATACTGACAACAGTACACAACGATCTTTCAAAGTCAAAGGGCTGAAAACATATCCCTGGGTAGCATATGATGACCATGATGACACCCAAAGACTCATGACTTGTACTTTGTACATTAAACACAAGAAACAAAATTCGTTGACAGAAGGGACTTGTACCAGTGCGTTGGCCCATCATGCAGAGGATAGAGATCATCAGAATGTACTTAGTGCTGGCATCTTTTGGACCTGGATATTTTGGGGCTTTATCTCATATATGTTACAGTCAATGTCATGAGACCTGCACCTATTGGGGCTTTATGAAGCTGACACATCTCATATATGTTACAGTCACTGTCATGAGACCTGGACCTATTGGCGCTTTATGAAGCTGACACATTTCATATTTGTTACAGTCACTGTCATGAGACCTGCACCTATTGGGGCTTTATGAAGCTGACACATCTCATGTATGTTACAGTCAATGTCATTGACATAACATGCAGTTCAGCTAAAGACCATACAGACTATATTGAGAGGGCACGGGTGGCCCAGTTGTCTAAGGCGCAGCGATTCGATGTGCCGAGTTGCGTCCCTTGGATACGCCAGAAACCTATGATTGTGGGTTCGAATCCTGGTTCGCCCTGATTATTGTCCCCCGCCTCGCGAAAGCGCGAAGCGGGGGATATAGTATTCACGACCGTCCGTACGTATGTCCGTACGTCCGTACGTCCGTACGTCCCACCTGTTTGTTGCCGCGATATCTCAAGAACTAAACACTGGATTGTCTTCATATTTGGAACTATGGTGTATATACAAATTCCGCAGACACCAGTCGGTTTTGGTGACCTTGACCCCATTTTCAAGGTCACAGCAGGCAAATCTGTTTTTGGGGTTGGAAAACGGTGTTGCCGCAATATCTCAAGAACTAATCGCTGGATTGTCTTCATATTTGGTACTATGGTGTATATACAGGCGGGGGACATTTCGTCACTTTGTGACAAATACTTGTGTTTCTAGGTTTGTCAGCACCATACCCGTGCTCGTGGGTTTCACCGAAGTGGTAAATGTCTAAGACCTGCATCACTTCAGGCTTTCCTCCCACATCAAGCTGACACCGTGATATAACTGGAATACTGTTAAAAGCGGCGTTAAACCCAATGCACTCACTCACTCACAGAATATGTTGTGAACAAACATAGGACTGAGTGATATTGTTTGCACATAAGTGCATCATGAACAAATGCATCATGAGTCTAACGTTTAACAGTTCATGTTGGCACGTGTGAGACGGGAGTGGCACCTGCTGTTGCATCTTAAACCTGCCTTGTGCATATATTTGTCTGACACTGTTTGCCGCTTACGACACACAACTACACTTGGCAAATCCCTGACCTCCGCACTTGGACTCAGTTTGCACTGCCTGACGGAGGTCCCTCTCTTTGTCTTTACAGATTTTCCTCAGTGCTGTACAGCTGTTGAGTCCACAGGTCGAACAGGTTTCTGCTGTAGTGTTCCTTCAGGACTCCTGCACGAACAGCTTCCCTGATACTGGTCATTGTTGTCTCTGTTCACAATGACGCCCATGACGAGGGTCGCCTTCACCACATGATCCAAGGTCTTTGGACACGATGGGTTGAACAACTACGTTCCTTGTTGTGATTCATTTACACTTCTTCTGACATTCAATGCAAAGAGATTTGTACACTTCTACTCACTCAATAGTGATATTAGCATATTTAGTTTTGTGTGTAGAAATTAATTTTATGTTTTATACAAAGAATTATTCTTGATTTTACTTGTGTCTCATAACCTGTTTGGGTGGCATGTGTACATGTGTTTTAATGTATCATGCTCCGCTGACCTCTTTCTTCTTTATGTTCAAAGGGTGAAACAAAACTAAACCACTTTGATTGATTGAGTATTAATGTCCACTTTATTTTAGAGGTCACTTTCACCTATTGTTTTGACATGTACCTATTGTACTCAGCCCGCTTCTGATAAGGGTATTTGCTTTAGTGAGGAGACTGTGTCAGGTCACTGCTACCTTCTATTTGATTGATTACCTATCTGGCTTCTAATCTGTTTTACTTTTTATTTGGTAAGAAAACACAGATAATAACCGATGTTTTGACATTTGTCAACATCAAATTGATTCCAATATATTGTGTAAACTGGCTAAAACTGCATACTGATCCAAATTAATATGAGATTACATGAAGGAGTCTAATTCATTTCAGTTAATTTGTCTAGAATTCAGTCTCATTTTTCAGGCAGTATGTATGAGTGAATAAGTCATAATATTGACTTAATTTTTCAGTCAATATACATATTGCCTGATTATTGACATTGGCTGTAACATATATGACTGAACTATATTTGATGCAGCGTTTATACAGGTCTGGAAACAAGACGTTCTGGTTTTAACCAGGGATGTTGGGTATAGCAGTTAAGAGTTGAGTCAAGAGACATTTTTATAGCAACTGGAATTAAGATGTTGAAGATTTGAATAGCTGTTGAATGTATTTCAGTGTGCACCCAGCTGTTGGTGGCAAGCCGTCCTGATGATGACTGCTTCACAACGTACCTACAGCTCATAGACAAGTGTCTCAATCACGAGGTAGGCTACTTCTACAGTTGAATGCAACGCGGCTTCCAATTAACTTTCAACAGGCTTAAATTGGCAAATGACAAAAACGTTCCTAAACTGTCTTGAAAGGCCATGTGAGCTTTAGTCGGTAGAAGTCATCCATGAGTACATGAAATGTTTACATTTTCGACTTCTTCTCTGAAACAGCTTAATGGATTCATCTGGATGTAGATGTTTGTTACTGTAGGGAGGGTTCAGGTTTGTCCAAAATTGGTATGGCTGCAAAGTAGCCACAGTTAATTTTTCAAATATTCTACCCAACATTTGCTACGGACCAAAATAGTCATCTTTAGTGAAATGTTGAGTGGCATATATACTTGATAAATCTTCTCCAAAAGGTAAAGACCAGAAGCCTGAAACTTGGTGGTTGAGATGGTCACTCCATGTAGTTCCAAGTTTGTTTCAGTCAATGTTGATCTGAAATCAAATATGGCATTTAGATCTTCTCCTCAGAAACCACAGTACCAATGAAGCTGAAACTTCATATGTTTGTTTCCACCATCTATGATACCAAGAATTGTTTAATTGTTAAACTGTATAGGAATCTCCACTTCTTTTCTGATCCGTTGATTAGGATTACACATGTGTAAAGGATAATGATCATAAGTTTCTTGAACAATGTTTCAGGCACCATCATTATGACTATACTTTAGCCATTGCTGACAATATTAGGGAAACAAATGTTTCAGAAACTGCTTCTTCAAATACTTTTTATCCCCCGGCATTTAATGCGGGGGATATAGCGATCAGCCAGTCTTTCCCGGACAGAACTCGAAAACCATTCAGTGTATTTGATTGAAACTTTGGAAAACTATCAGTCACATACTGAAGTGGTTCTTTTTGATATTTTTTAATTTTTTAATTTTTTAATTTTTAATTTTTTATAATTTTTATGAAAAGAAGTTGGACATAGACTACATTGGGGAAGGGGTTTGTTTCTGGGGCAGAAAGCAAAAAACCATTCAGTATATTTGATCGAAACTTGAAAGATATATCAGTCACATGTTGAAGTGGTGCCTTTTGCTATTTTGTAATTTTACAAAATTCTATTTTTGCTATTTAGGAATGTTTCAAAATTTCAATTTTCCATGTATCCATGGACAAAATTTAGACTTTGCTGAAATGGAGGTAGATGTCGTTTCTGGAGCAGCACTAAAAACATGTTTAACAGTGTTGAATAAAACTTGGAACATGTATTATTCAGGGGTTGAAGTGGTGCCTCTATTTAGAATTTAGATATTTTTTCCCCTGTTTCCATGGCAAGAAGTTTGACTTTGACTACATCTTTAAAACTAATAAGAATTCTTCTTTGAAACTATGCACACATATGACCAGTTTGTCATCTGGTGCCTTTTGCTGTTTAGGGATTGTTAGAATCTATTTTTTTTCTGTTTCCCTGGCAACAAGTTTGACTTTGACTGTTCATGTTGGTGTGTACCTGACATAGAAATACAAAGTTCCCAATCCCAATTCCATGGTATTGTTTTGATAGCTCAATATCTACTCTTGTATACTGACAGACAGATCAGATAGAAATTCTTCATCAAGTGGATTAAACAGGCAGATAATTTCTCTTTCAAATTTGTAGGGACCGTGGAGATTTTCGTCATCTTCTGATGACTCTTGTTGCTACTTTGCATGAATGTTTATTACCACTGACATTATTCAGTCCTCACATAACAAAATGTCTGTGTTACAAACCCAGTTAGTAGCCACTTAATCCTAAGGGTGTCCTTGTCATAATTACTCTTTAAAAAAGTAGGGGATACTTGGAAGTAACTTAAAAATGCCAGATTTTAAACTTATCTTATCCTACACAGTGCATTTCTTTTCTGATTTTGATTCCAATGACATCACAGGCTCCACCTCAGGTTATTCCGACTTCATGGGATCCTTGTGTTCTCTCTTCCATGCCAGCACAACAGCTTCACACTTTGTTACAAGCGGTGACAAAGGCATACCTTCTCTCAGTTAACTCCTACGGAGACAGCAACATCTGTATGGACCTCCTTCCCTCCTACCTTGTTGACAGTCACTCCATCACCAGAGACAGACTCATCTGATCATTATACCTCCCCGCTTTCTTCCACAAGGACTTTTGACATAGCCGACCCGGTTACCGTTCTCATCTGGATTGCCGATAAAATTCAACTTTATAAAAGAACCTCAGCTGAGGACACTCTATCCTCCTTCGTCTGTCCCATCTGCCAAATATTACGCTTCCTTCAAGGCCCATCTTAGCGGATATGGCCACCAACTTAGATACAGCCTCCTGTTCGTTTCACAATTACGTGATCGGCTTCAGTCCCCACACTTTATTAGCTGATACAGGTACACATGGCTTAGCAATTGTTGCTCCTGAGTTGGGAGGTGATATTTTAACTTTAGCGCCTAAGCATTCTTCCTCCTGCTCCTCTGTTGACGACACTACAGTTCGTAGGACACTTCCCCTTATTTCTATTTTCCTATTGGCGACAGAACCTCTCTCATTGGCTTTGATTCTTCCCAAGAAGAAGCTTGCATCCAGGGTAAAGTGACCTTTATTGAAGATAAGACGGCAGCTGTCCTAGATCATCTTGCTCACCACGCAGAATCAATCACCACCCTTAGGAGACAAGGTGTTCCACAACACTGCTCCTGGGATGACCAATGACTGTTTATATTAACTACCATGATCAACACCTTCTCTCCTCATGTCATGCATCCAAGTCATTGCACATGTGGTCCAGAGGACACCTTCTTCAAGTCACGGTTTGGCCTACTTCGTCTTCAGTGGAACCCACTCCAGGAACAGAGGAAAGATCGGAAACTACCGACCTTCACTTCATCTCAACCTGATCTTAGAGATTTTCTGAGCAATCGATCTAGTTCCTCGTGTTGGAGGACGCTGTCGCCAAGGTAAACGAGGCGGAAAATCTGGCGGTCGTACTGTCTCCTTCTCAGGACCAAAGGGAACGCCTACTCTCCCAGATCGGGAGACACTACCTCAAAATGACTGGTTGAGCCATCAGAACAACTGGGTTCTTTTGCCTCAAGCCGTTCTGATTTTCTCAGATTAGACCTATTTGCTATGAATTCGTCCATTTTGGACAACCCATTTGTACTTCGTCTTCTGCAAACAAGGTATTCTGTACCCCTCATTGCGACACCTCCTACAACCTACAAGCCTCATCAACATTTCTATCCTGACAAGCTGCTCCCAATCCTCATAGACACCATAGACACATTCCTTGTAAAGAACACCATAGAGCATCTGGGCACACGGCCAATGACACCAGGGTTCTATTCCCCAATCTTCCTGGTCCCAAAGAAAGACATCAAACTGTACCTAGAGACTCTTCCACACTTTGATGACATTAATAGCCTCATGAAGGACGATTCTTCATCCTGGTGACTTCATGATCAGTCTATCTAGAGCAGTGCCATTTCCTCCAGTTCGTGCTCCCATTTGGAAATTCCACCTTGGGTTCCAGTTGCTACGTACCTGGCTGTGATCAATTCCGTTGTCGCAACTACAATGGGCACAAGATCTCTACAGTTACAGAACTGCAATTGTTAATTTGGTCTTACAAGTTGGCAGACCAGTCATCACGGTTTGCATCTTAAGTAGTATAGGTAATGGGGGTTCTGCCGCAACTCCACTGGAGCAGGATTCATATACCTATACTGCTACTACAGGAGGAATTTTTTATGCCAAAATGATGATGCGATTTAATGATAGTCATAAGATTAAGTTAAATTGGCTCTAGCTCACCAATACCTGGGGCCAATCATTGCTTCTATTAGTGATGTGATTCAACGAAAGTCGTTTTAAAAGAAATATCAATATTAATTAATAATGGATAAAATTTACTATAGTCCACGAGGATATTGGAAAGGTGTAGGAGCAATAAAAAAATTAGCCACCACGGCTAAGGTATCTAAAGTTGTGGCCAAGGATTGGTTAAAGAAACAAGCGATGTGGCAAATATATTTACCGGCACCGCGTTATATACCGAGGAAGAAGTTTGATATTTTTACGACGAATCAAGTTCATCAGGCTGACCTCTTGTTTCTTCCCCATGATAAGGTAAAACGCAAAACGTATAAATACACTTTAACAGTAGTGGATGTGGCTAGTCGATACAAAGAGGCTGAGCCATTAACATCGAAAGAATCAACAGAGGTAGCTAATGCACTGAGTCGCATATATAAACGCGGACCGCTAAAATGGCCTAAGCTATTTCAAGTAGATCCCGGTCGCGAGTTTATGGGATCGGTAACTAAACTGTTAACAAAGAACGATGTCAAAATCGTCCGTGGTGAAAGAGAGGCCCACCGCAGTCAAGCTATCGTCGAGAGATTTAACAGGACATTAGCGGAACGTTTGTTTGGCTATCAGTATGGGATCGAAATGAAATCCGAGCGATTGAGATCAACCGAATGGGTGACACGATTATCAGCCGTTGTATCAGCGCTGAATAATGAAGTAACGAGATTAATAGGGAAGAAACCATCCGATGCTATTAAAATGAAATCCGTGACTTCCGAATCTTCAGCACCGAGGAGAGGCAAAGAACGAAAACTTCCGGATAGAGTAAGGGTAAGATATTTATACCAGGCCGGTGAACTCGAAGGAGGCCTACGTCGTGCAACCGATCCCATATGGTCCCTTAAGACGTATAACATTAGTCGATTGGTTTCGAAAGAAGGAGAGCCTATTCTTTATTATCTTCAAGATGGACCGGGTAGGGCATTTGTACGAGAAGAGTTGTTCATAGTTCCCGACGGTACGGTATTACCACCATAACCATAAGCATAGGTATTTACACCATCATTATCAATCCATCTCTTTGTATCTAAGGGGGATAATGATGTCTTGTTCATTCTTAATCCATATATCCTATGATCGTAACTTCTTAAAGAGTTCATCTCGTGTTTGAACGTTCTACCGTTAAATAATGATTCTTTATACTGTTTGTGTTTGATAT